TGCTTCTGGATGCTCTTGCAAGGAGCATTCGGTTAGCTTCACTGAGCTAAGCAGGACTACTCATGTTGGCTGAGAGTGTCATGTGAGTGTGATCTCATCCAATAAGCATGGCCCTACATCAGGCTGCACTTAACAAGTGAAACATCTGGCTTCTCCTGCAGATGTGACCCAGGTAAATTGTCAAACTGTTCTTAAATATGTTCTTTAATATGTCAGAATAGGAACAGGCTGACTCCTACTTACATGATCCTTCTGGTCTAAGCTGGTCTGATGAAGACACAGTTCATAGGTCTATATTATAATACCAACTCATACCAAGTTTAAACAGTTTTCACAGAGTGTTAACTGAAAGTGCTCAGTCTCTGTGAGAAGCCTGTTCTCTGTGAGAAGCCTCACTGCTTTAGGGTTTTTAAGTGTTTTTCAGTGGTACAATATTATATAAAGTGCAGCAGGATCTACACTTCCATAGACTCCCCCACGCTTCTTGTCCCCCAAACTTCTTTGAATGTTCTAATGCTGTAATTATTGCATGAAAGTACACTGCTATGCTCTGCATCATTACATTTTAAGATGGCACCATTATAGCATCACCAAAGTGACTGTCTCACTTGACTTTTTATTTTCTCTTTGTCACTCTCCCACCTACTCACAGGTGTATCTTCTTATACTCGTTATTTAAAGGGACACTTCACTGCTACCCCCACTCCCCCCCAAAAAATAGAATCACTGTTTAGTAGGTACAGCCAAAATAAAAACCATGTATGCATATTTTCATTGGGGGCATGTTCACAACCAAAAAGCTTACTATGCTAAAACTTAGTCTAGGGGTTTATTCACTAACATATTAAATATCAAAAAGCACAAAGAAAACCACATTCCATCAGGGCATATTTAAAAACTGCTTGTAAAACCTGCAGTTCTCTTGTCTGCAGCCTTTGCAAGCCCTCCCCCTCGAAACCCACGCAAACTTTCTGTGGCTGTTCAATCACAGACTTCCCAATGCAGCTCTATGAGAAGTCTTTGCAAGGCAGGTGCTCTGAGCAATTGTCTGTCTTTTGGGTTTAGCTCCACTGTACTAACCAAACCAGGAAGCAACGGGACCAATTATATAAAGGTGCCAATTTCTATTGAAAGCAGCACTTTTTGTGAAACGTTCTTCACACATATAGGAGTGTCCCTTTAAATAATGCGCTAGCATTTACGGTATGTTCTGTGTGTGTATCTTGCTATAAGCTCTTATTCATTTGGTGTTTATTCTCTGAAACAGAATTTGTGGTGAGCTGAGAAAGGAACTGCATATTAGACCAAAATTGCTTAGTCAGAAATATTTTCCAACTCAGCCATTTCCTGCTCGTGTGTTTTATCCTAACATTTGCAAATCCCTTATCATTTTTCTAAAATTTCACAATTTGTAAACTAAAGCAAACCAAAAAACAGCTGAGTTTGGGCAAGGACAAGAGGAGTATGCAGTAGTGTGTGTGTGTGTGTGTGTGTATATATATATATATATATATATATATATATATATATATATATATATTTATGAAAGTATTTTGTACTAATGGGGATAGAAGGGTATATCCTAGCTGAAGTTCTGGTCAACGTGACATATTTCTACTGAAGTATTCACAGATAGAATTACCATGTGTAGGTAATTATCCTTCACATGGACTGGATTTTAAGACCATACCCTATTTTCTAAAAAGGAAAAAACATTTAATCAGGAATCCACAGAATTTCTTGATAAATCCTGTTAAGTAATGAAATTCCCATAACATCTTTCCGCATTACTGACTGGTTGAGTACCATTTTATATCAGCTAATGAAATACCTCATGTTTTAATATATCATCCTGCACTTGAAAGGTTGCACTGCTTTAATCCTGGCTTGGTGAACTCCCCTATCCACATTATATTTTCTCCTCCTTATTCAGCAATAATAACCTTCCTTAACCATGTCTTCTACCTCTCTCTCAAGCCAGCCAACAATATATTCCCGTCAAACGCTCTTCAAATATGTTACTGTTGCTCTCGATTTTTTTTTTTTGATTTTTTTTAACTGTCATGTCCATACCATTTCAGCATTATAAAATACCGGTACTAATGCTTGGTATTAATGTTTATTGGAGATTATAAATTGGCACTCTCAACCTATTTTAATCACTTGTAATCATGTAATGTTTAATTAGATTTACTTGCAACTCTTACTAAACCTTACTTCATGTGTGTCACACCTGCCGTCCTGTATTTGTTACGGATATTGCTGAATTGTATGTGAACCCTGTCCCCACACCTAATATAAGTTAATAGCTAACATTGTGTCTTTTATACCTTTTGGACAGATTATTGCAGCATATGTAGAACTGCTTGCAGATATTTGTTCCTATCTGAGAATGTGAGTATAGTTGGGGGGTTTTTGAGCATGGGAAATAAGATATGCTTTATGTTTTCATTAAAGGCAGTTATCTCATCCCATCATATTTACCATTTATTCTTACTTTTATATAACTCAGTTGGTTTTGTACACAGCTTAAACCTCAAGAGAAGATCTTTTTTAGAAGCATTAAGGACACTGCACTGAAATACTTTGATCAGATTGCACAGGTGGGATTCTAAGCATCATAAATGTGTTTCTATGTGTTATTTATAAATGGAGTTAAAAGTGTAAACAAAAGTCAATTCAGCCACTAATTTTCGGCAAATTGTTTTCATCAATTATTTTATATGCTGCTTCCCTTGGTAAAACAGCCCACCAGCACCAAGCGGTTTTGGGAGCAATAGTACATTGTCCTTTAAAATATCTTCAGCTTACTGTCTATACTGCCTATGGGTGGGGACACTAGTTCCCCTCTCCATTTAGTAAGTACCCGCTGACCATAGATTTCCTCCTTGCTTTTTTTTATTTATTATTCTTTATTTTGTTGTGCAGGAAAAATGCAAAGAGGCAAGCAATGCCACAACAGCTATTGCCAGTTTTTAGGTCAACATTTAAAGACAATTGATTGGCATTACTGAACATTGCACATTTTATGTTATAAAGTAGTTTCAACAATGGTTAAACCAACACGTCAGTCAGGGCCAGATTAAGAGCCCAGTGGGCCTGGTGCTGACAATTATGATGGGGCCTAATTACAGAATCTTATCGACCAAAAACACTAAAACAGTCCTACCTCTCAAGCATCATGTATCTGATGGAGATGGTGTTGGAGGGTAACTCAAAGGATGCAGATATAAGAAAACACATACTCTATCCTAATCTCTTTATCTAATTTATGCTTTCATCTTTCAAGTAAATCCATACCCCCTAACAGCAGTGTCCAGTGAAGCAGGAAGTCAATGGGCGGGAAAAAAGGGTGGGCCGCTGACGTAAATCACGTGACCAGAACTGCCAAAAGGGCAAACATGCCCAAAAAGGGGGCATGTCTGTCCAAAGAATTGGAAGACCAGCCTGGCATCAATGTCCCTATGTATCACAGTGTCAGTGTCCCGTGTCACTAGGATACTAGGGAACACAGTGAGACATGGGGACACTGAGACACTTGGGGACTCTGGGAGACATGAGGGCACTTGTGGATACAGACATGGGGACACTGAGACATTTGGGGACACTGTGAGAAATGGGGTCACAGACACTTGGGACACAGAGACATGGGGACACAGACATTTGGGGAAACTAAGACACCAGGGACACTGAGAGACATGGGAACACAGACACTGGGAGACGTGGACACTGAGACACTAGGGACACTGGCTGGGTGGCTTGGGGACACTGGTAGACATGGGGACACAGAGACATGTAGACACAGACACTGGGAGACATGGGGACACTGTCTGGGAGACATGGGGACACAGACATTTGGGGACACTGAGAGACTAGGGGACACTGGGAGCCATGGGAACATTGATACACCAGGGACACTGACTGGGAAACATGGGGACACTGGAGACATGGAGACACTGTGTCCCTAGTGTCTCCATGTCCCAATGTGTCTCCCTTTGTCTCACAGCGTCCTCATGTCTCACAGTGTCCCTCAGTGTCTCCAAGTGTCTCACTGTCCCCACACCTCACAGTGTCCCCTAGTATCTCAGTGTCCCCATGTCTCCCTGCTGCCTTTCATCCCATCCTTCACATACCTGAGCTGTAGTCTTCCTCTGCAGGCTGGGTGCTACTGTCTGGACTCTTTGTGCTGTGTAGCTGCTCCCCTGCGGATCAGTGAGTAGAGAGAGGCAAGGATATGCTGTAACTTCCTATCCCTGCCTCTCTCCATACACAGTGACCCTTACTGGCAGGTGCTGGTATTGCAGAGTAATCTCTGCAATACCGTCACAACCAGGCAGCCTCAAATACCGGCTGTGCCTTAAAATACCAGTCATGTGGTAAACCTAAGAGTAGTGTGTAAAAAATTTTTTTTTTTAAAGTTTCCATGGGCCTGGAGCTACAGCTCCATCAGCCCCTATGTTAATCTGGCCCTGATGTCAGTTGTAAGGTAAGGCAGACGAGGTCCTGATTCAGGTTAACATACTGACTTATTGTGAGGTGCTAGTGTCACCAGCTTAATTAACTAAGGCATATCTTATTTGTGTGAGTTAAAAATAAAAAGGAAATCACTAGACATAACATTGCTAACAAATATCAAGAACATGCTAGGTCTTCTATGATTATTAGCTAATAAAAGAAAAATATATCATGCTAGCAAGATATAACTGGCTATTACTGCACAATGTTAAATTAGTGAAACATGCTTATGCAGGGTATGTCAGTGGATGGGTAAGTATTCTTAGCGTTAAAACTGGGTACACATCTTGGCAATTTAGTTACGAGAGACATATGAACCTGCTAGGTATATTCAGTGAAGATTGAAAGCAAATGGATTCAAAGCAAAAAAATTTTTGTTACAAATTTAAAATAAAATACAGTCCACCATATGAAAAGTAAGCCAGGAGGAACAGGTGTCTTCGGGGCATCCACTGTGAGCCCCCTGCCTTCTCACTCGATCCCCAGTTTGATTAGAGACTGCTGGGCACTCAGACACCTGGAGGGTAGGCTTATGTCGCTTGGAAGCACGTACAGTGAGCCTTAAGCTGAATCCCCGGATCCGTGCTAGTACCGGAGCCGCCATTTTGAGGAGTTAGGAGACTGAGTGTCCCTGATCTTTGGGCTTTTAGTAGGCCTCGCTCTGTGGTTGGTTCAGCATCAGGGCTTGAGAACTAGTCAGTGCGTGTTCTCTTGGTCTCTGCTGTGGAGACAAAGGTGCTTCGCGGCTAGTCAGGCTACAAGGAGGCCTCAAGGGCAACGTGGATTGGAGTGCGTGAGTGGTGATGTGTCTGAGGTTTAAGAGCTGGTCATCAGCTCAGATTGCTGTCTCGCTTCTATTGTGGCCCAGAACCTCTGAAACAGGAGATCCAGTTTGGTCATAAGTGTGGCAGTTTGGGGCTCTGCTGGGTCTTTGGCCCCGATCGCCGCCATCTTGGAAGCCACCCGGTGGCTTCATAACCCTTCCCTGTGGAGACAAAGGTGCTTCGCGGCTAGTCGGGCTACAAGGAGGCCTCAAGGGCAACGTGGATTGGAGTGCGTGAGTGGTTTGTGGTGATGTGTCTGAGGTTTGAGAGCTGGTCGTCAGCTCAGATTGCTGTCTCGCTTCTATTGTGGCCCAGAACCTCTGAAACAGGAGATCCAGTTTGGTCATGAGTGTGGCAGTTTGGGGCTCTGCTGGGTCTTTGGCCCCGATCGCCGCTATCTTGGAAGCCACACGGTGTTTCCAGGCAGAGCAGTCCCTGTTGCTAAGAGTGTCGGTGGGAGACCTCCTGGGACCGGGATGACCCCACCTGCATTGGGGGTTAGGGGGAGTGCAGATGTCCACTCTGGGTGTCAGGATGTGGCGCCTGGAGAGCGGCCGTCCCTCTGACACCTGACATGCTTGAAGCCCGCAGCAAGTGAGGGAACTGTAGTCCGGTTCAGGAAAGTGCCGAGTCCAGTACTGACCAAGTCACAAGATTCCCCACTATGCGGTAAGTAACTTCTCGGAGCTGAAAACTTTAGTTTGGCAGAAATGTAGCTTATTTAGCAGATGTTGCTCAGGAGCATGCGTCCTCTCTGATTGCCAGTCAGGCTCCGCCACCCCTTGCTTTTTTTAATTAATAGCCTTTACCTGCTAGGCAGTCCAATGATCTGTTCATCCCCATTACTTAAAGGACCATTATAGGCACCCAGACCACTTCAGCTTAATGAAGTGGTCTGGGTGCCAGGTCCATCTAGGTTTAACCCTTTTTTCTATAAACATAGCAGTTTCAGAGAAACTGCTATGTTTATAATAGGGTTAATCCAGCCTCTAGTGGCTGTCTCATTGACAGCCGCTAGAGGCTCTTCCGCGCTTCTCACTGTGATTTTCACAGTGAGAAGACGCCAGCGTCTATAGGAAAGCATTGCTAATGCTTTCCTATGGACTGGCTGAATGCGCGCGCGGATCCTGCCGCGCATGCGCATTCAGCCAAAGAGGAGGAGGAGAGTTCCCCGCCTGGCGCTGGAGAAAGAGGTAAGTTTAACCCCTTCCACCCCCTAGAGCCTGGCGGGAGGGGGACCCTGAGGATGGGGGCACCCTCAGGGCACTATAGTGACAGGAAAACGAGTATGTTTTCCTGGCACTATGGTGGTCCTTTAATTCACAATTCTACACAGGATGCCCATGGTTGGGGTTCCTTCTGTTATGTTACAGTACCGAACCCCATGGGATAAGGCTTTTCTAGCAACTGGGCAGGTTAAATTCTAGTTTATCCATTTATATGCCTCCAAAACTTCCCTTAGAGTAACCTGGGGGTCATAGTGACATATTCCAAATCTTATCATTTGTATCGGATTCTGATGTGACTGTTTAATGAATTACCCTGTAAACAAACAAACTAAACTAGTGTCAGGAGTCCTGTAATATCACCATGAAACCAGAAGGGACCTAAATTATATCCTCTATCATACCACAAGCAGTAGTCCTTATGACCCCAAGAAATTAATGATAAGTTAATATCATTAGTTCATATACAGCATTTGGTTGGTGATAGAGGAAAAAAATGAAAAGGGGTCCCCAAGTCCCCTTTGTAGTTTTCAGACTTTGTGAATAGCTCACTGACTTTATTTATCCCGTGTGCAGAGTTGAAAGGTCTTAACTTGCCCTTTCCCATTCTTTCCATCCTCTCTGGAAAAAAATAATATCCCCTTATGAAAAACACTAAAGGCAAGGATTCACCCAAGCCTGTTGTCCTAATGACCCTTTCCCAGAATATAGTAAGGCCCCTGTATTTTGGATGTCTGGTCCTATCACATCATCGCCCCTGATCATGTACCCTAATACTTGTCTCCAATACTAATTACCAGGGCTTTGCAGTAGTTACATTAGTGCAAGAGCAATAGATGTTTTCATTGTTTGCCTGCATTCCTGTGGAGTTGTTTTCCCCTCAGAGGTTAGGTTTTTTTTTTTTTTTTATCTTGCATCACTGTCATTATAGCAGTATAGCCAGTTTGTTATAATATTATAGTTTTTTTTTTCATTGCATTTGAATGGAAACATTTGCTCACTACTATCGGCAGGCAAAATAGCAGAAATATTCAAGCAACCAAATGAAAGATAGTCAAATAAACAGAAGAAACTCCACAGTATGGTCCACATCTATTAAAATGTGGGTAGCATTGAATTTTTTTATTTTGAGCAGGGGGGCTTGTGGCTATATCCACTTGGTACATTATCCTTGGCACTGCATACAGTACAAAGCAAATCATTAGGCTGAAAGGTCCACAATCCTGTCATCCAAATGTCCACTAGGAACCTTGTATATTCCATAAATAAATAATATAGCAGCATTATGGTTTCATAGATATATTAATGGAAATACAGTTAAATCAATGAAAATACTGAATAGAACTCCTGAACTGTACTATTTGCAGGTTTGGAGTTTCCAGAAGCAACAGCATGAACTACAAGTTGCCTTCTTTAAGCGTTATTTGTTGAAAACCCAGAAAGAACTACAAGAGGCTCTGCACAAGACTACCAGCCTAGAGAAGTATTTAAATCTTGTCAACTTAAAATATGCATGAAATACAATTAAATATTTACTTAATTAGTATATGTATGTAATGTATATAGTATTTTAAAAGAATACACTTGTGAAAATTATAAGTAAGTCTGAAGTGTGGGGCAAGAAGGGCCGTTGGAGTGCCGTGGGATTCCATTAATCTATCTTTCCAGTTAATTTCTTTCTTTCCTCTTTTGACACTGTGCCAGTGCCTTCGAAGCGGTATGGCAGGACTGCAGTAAAAATTCAGCTCCGATGCCACTCACACATACACTTCTCAGAATGGTGCGCTACTATACTATTTCTTTGCACCTCACTGAACCTTGAGCTCTGCCACGTTACAGTCAAGTATGGCCATTGGCATCAACTTCATACGTTGCCAAATGTCCTCTATCACCAACACGTCCACACAAACACGCTTGGCATAGACTTAGCCGCACCACATGGCCACGTTAGTCTCGAAAGAGAAGACCCTTAACATTTTAAACCAACACCAAAACAATCTTCAACACAGAAATCGTGGCACCAATACATAAGTGTATCTGCGGACACCTGCATACCTCTCACGGTAAAGTGTATACATCTCACAGGCCACACCACTGTAATGGTTCCTAACTCATTTCTATCTTTCTGTCATATCTTCAATTTTCTTATGTTAAAACAAAAAACTTTAACAGCTTCTCTGAATACCTATGCAAAGAACTACACCATTTGAAATACTGTAACCAACATATATCCCATACCTGGTACCTGTAATTATGCATTGTACACTGTGTGGACTTTACCTACGTGTTTTTTCCAAACTCAATGTACTTTAAAAAAGAAGGGCTGTTGGTGGATGTAAAATGTTAGCAAGACACCATCACAAAAGTGTACATGCAGATGTCTGAAAAAGAGCTATGTGTATGTAATAAAACCTGAGGTTCTCATGCAATGACTGACTCAAGTATTTCTGTAGTGAGCTGAAAGCTATGAAGAGGGAAAATACAGAGCTTAAGTCTCTGGTCAGTATCCTAAAGGTGAGTAGTAATGATTTCATGATTTCTCTCCTTAACATATTTCTAAACTTGTTGTTGCTAATGTTTAGTTCCAGTGTTGTGATTCCACAATTCTTTTTATGTTTTCTACCATATATGTATATATTAAACTTTCTTATCATTATGCAGGGTTCTCTGAACAGGTCACAAAATAGCAGTAGGTGAGATTTTTTTCTGTGTTTTTTGTTTATCTATTTCTTTAAAAAAACGCTGCAATGTGAATAATACATATATTAACTGTGCTGTGTAATTATTTCACATTATATATAGCCCACCCTCCTCTATGTGTTTCATTAATAAATGGTTGAAAAAAAATAAGGTAAACATACCTGTAATCCATCAACATAACATTCTCTTCAATGCAGCCAATCTATCCAAAAGGAGAGTCGAGATTCTAGAGAAGCATTGTGGACAAACTTTGTTTATGGAAGAGTAATGCTTCTCATAGAGAGCATTGAATTCAATGTTTCTCTATGAGGAGCATTGTAATAGCAGATTTCTCTATGAGGAGCTATTACAATGCTCCTCATAGAGAAACATTGAATTCAATGCTCTCTATGAGAAGCATTACCCTTCCAATTTAAACTATAGTTCAAAGCAAGTAAGACAGGATACCCTTCCAGCTGTTTCATTAATTAAGGTAATTTCTAACAGTGCTGGTTGCTCTTACTATGTGAGTAGAGCTGAGGTACAGTAGCTCCTGGTGGCCAGGAGCAGGGATAAATGCAGTCACATGTTCTGGTCTGTATCCAAAGTCAGAAACCATGCAGAAGCGGTCACCCAGTCATACATATAGGGCTCATTTCCAGTATTATTTTTTTAAATCAGCCATAAGCTGTTGTTATTGCTAACAGATTCTAGGTATTTGTTGCCCAAAAAATACTACAAAAAAAAACTAGTTTCTAAACTCCAGGCCATTATGTTTTGTCTTCATCTTATTGTTCTCCTAGCGAATCGAGCTACTGCGGCAAACAGTACTATTTAAGTGTTCTTGCATAGCAAGACCACTTATTGTTATCTCACATATATATTATTATTTTTATTAAGTGTTCTTGCATAGCAAGACCACTTAATGTTATCTCACATATATATTATTATTCTTATTAAGTGTTCTTGCATAGCAAGACCACTTATTGTTATCTCACATATATATTATTATTAAGTGTTCTTGCATAGCAAGACCACTTAATGTT